ATAATATTGTCTTAATACTACTCTATTGTTGTAATATTATGCAATTTAGTGTCAATAATTGTATTGGCAATGTGGCCTCTTTCTGCACACATACAAACCAACCCCTGCCACCACTTTCTGCCATAGCTCCATTGGTCTAATGGTCTATGTCATGGACTTTCATGTGGGAGATCAGGGTTCAAAACCCAGCTAATGCAACTTTAAGAAAAAATATCTTCAAATTTCATATTGTCACACAATTACATTAATTACAAACACCTGCTGACGTGACAGGCACAAGCTGGTTTAGAAAACACATTTGAACTTGGTCAAAGTTCATTCTGAAAGTCCAATGCTGCAGGCAAAGCCATGCTACGTGGCAATGCACACTTGTTTTTACATCGTAAAAACTCATATCTAGTTAGGATTAAAATCTGAGGAATTTACAGTAATTAAACGGACAAATCTCAGTTCTGTCTCGTGGTCTTACCTCAGGTTGCGGATCCAGTGGATCAGAGACGGCGCTCCCAGCATGACGGGCAGCATGAAGAGCGCAGACAGGCTGAGGTGCAGCTGCAGGTCGTCCCTCACCTCCTGCAGGGCGCTCTCGGACAGCAGGGGGGCCTCAGACCCGTTCCTGGGTTCAGGGTCCGCTGTGCCGTTCTCTGATGGGTGTTTCTGCGGCGCCTGAAAAGACCCGGGAGTTTTACTGGTTTTTCCTCCCAGCGCGTCTCACAGCTGACGTGAAACTCACCAGGTTCAACATGTGACTCAAAGATCGCTCTGTCATCTGCAGCCGGAGGACCTGAGAGGATCCAAAACCTGGTTTTACTTTGTGTCTATCCCTCTGTCAGCAAAATATCTCCAACAGAGAGCTAAATGTGGCTAATTAGCAGCTAACGCCAAAGACTCACTCTGTAAAAGTGAAACAGAGTGGAGAAAACGATCGACAGCGCCCCACAGGAAGTCCCGCCCACCACGACCAAACACAGACTGACGAGGAGGCGAGTGCACAGCCGCAGCGTCCCTGCGTCCCTGGTCACGGATGGTCTGCGGAGAAAAGAGTGAAGGTAAGGCAACGGATCAGGAAAATAACAAAACTTCAGGGTTCACGCAGCTTCACCTGAACAGAGGAGCCAAGACCAGTGAGACCACCTGGATCAGGAGGCGGAGCAAACAGCTGCCCCAGTACGCCACTGCCGCCCCGAAAACGTAGAGCAGAGGGGACAGGAGGTGTGGCCACTCCTCCGGGGGAGATGGCAACATCCTGTCTGGGAAGGTGTGGGGGAGCATGTCCACGGGTGGAGGGGCGAGGACCTCCTGGAACCAGCTCCAGCTGAGAGGACAGCACAGACACACAAGTCAGCCTAAAGGTTCTGGTTCTGACTGGAACCTGAAACCCAGGGTTCACCTGAGGAGCGTGTGCAACAAATAAACAGGCAGGTGGATCTTATGAGGCTGCAGGGCTCCGCCCACCGCCCGGCTCAAGTCCACAGCTCGTCCCGACTTCAGGATGGACGACAGCTGTCCCCCGCAGGCCAGGAGGAGGGTCACCGCCGTGTAGACCGGAACCATGGGACCGCAGAACCTCAGGGTCTGAAAACCAGCAGGTCAGAGAACCAGAGGGGTTTTAACAAAAACAGCTGGAGGGACAAGAAAAAATACAAAATAAGCTGATTTGAGGAAGTCCATCTTACCTGTCCCAGGACTTTAGGTAACGATGTTCTTATTGACACCTGGAAAAGACACAGAAAACAAGTCGTCTTATGGATGGACACATGGGGACATTTATGTCACTCAGATGTTCAGCTGGAATTAGGGTTGCCACCTTTAGATTAAAGTAAGGGACGACTGTCACAGAGCTAACACTAACACAGAGCTAACACTAACACAGAGCTAACACTAACACAGAGCTAACACTAAGACAGCGCTAACACTGACACAGAGCTAACACTAACACAGAGCTAACACTAACACAGAGCTAACACACAGAGCTAACACTGACACAGAGCTAACACTAACACAGAGCTAACACTAACACAGAGCTAACACTAACACAGAGCTAACACTAAGACAGAGCTAACACTAACGCAGAGCTAACACTAGCGCAGAGCTAACACTAACGCAGAGCTAACACTAACGCAGAGCTAACACTAACGCAGAGCTAACACTAACGCAGAGCTAACACTGACGCAGAGCTAACACTGACGCAGAGCTAACACTGACGCAGAGCTAACACTGACGCAGAGCTAACACTGACACAGAGCTAACACTAACGCAGCGCTAACACTGAAACAGAGCTAACACTGACACAGAGCTAACACTGACACAGAGCTAACATTAACACAGAGCTAACACTAATGCAGCGCTAACACGGAGCTAACATTAACCCTGTGAACTTGTTTAAGCTCTTGAAACACTTCTATACACCTGATTAACTACAGACTGAAGCCACAACACTGACAACAAACCCTAGTCCTAACACCTTCAACCAGAGGTATTTTTGTCACAAACAGAGATCAGTACCCTGCCAGAGAACACCTGACAGGTAGTACCTTATTCTGACAGTTGGGGGCAGTGTGGAGCTGCAGATGAACACCTGAGAGGTAGTACCTTATACTGACAGTTGGGGGCAGTGTGAAGCTGCAGGAGAACACCTGAGAGGTAGTACCTTATTCTGACAGTTGGGGGCAGTGTGGAGCTGCAGATGAACACCTGAGAGGTAGTACCTTATACTGACAGTTGGGGGCAGTGTGAAGCTGCAGGAGAACACCTGAGAGGTAGTACCTTATACTGACAGTTGGGGGCAGTGTGGAGCTGCAGGAGAACACCTGAGAGGTAGTACCTTATACTGACAGTTGGGGGCAGTGTGGAGCTGCAGGAGGACACTGGAGGCGTTGTCTGGTCGACTCGTGTGAAGCATCCCTGAGATCTCCGCTGACGACGGCACGCTGGCAGACAGATGGCACCGAGTCACGGCCGAGACAAGAACCCAATGAGTCAGTGGGGAAGCTGAAACTCACCTGACCCAGGTGAAGGAGTCCTCCCTGAACCAGGGGACCTTCATCCTGTAAACACTCTGCAACCTGTCTACACACAGATGGATCTGGGTCAGGGTCTCAGAACACACTGCTGACCCGCCCGACACCTGGACACAAACTCACCTTTACTGACCCGACACTGACTGGACACGGTGAGCCTGAACGCCTGGTACACCTGGAGACACAAAGACGCAGTTAAGGTCCACTGGCAGCGCAGGACATGAGAAGACTGGGACTCGAGACTCGGACCTGGTGGAAGTGGAGCAGCTGGATGTTGTGAAGAAGACCAGAGGAGTTCACGCCGACTTCACTGCTGGTCAAACCTGAAACATTTCATTTATTTAACGTTTGAAACAAATGGAGTCCAAACAACCGGGGACAGAACGTTTCCTCACCGAAGGACAGGACATGAGGGACGGACACGGACAGAAGCACAGACTCTTGTCTTTGCCACTCGCACTCCACCGTGAACTGTAAACAAACAAACAAAAACAGATTTCAAGTAGAAGAAGTTTTATTTTCTGGTCTGTGTTTGCAAACAGCCTGAAGGACCAGCGTGGTGTCCAAACATGTGCCTGTCTGTAAATCAGCTGTTAAAGTGTCTGTGACGTCAAATTTTTCTAATAAACATGAATGCATTTTTAGAAAGAGGACATTGATAAAATATTGAAAAGAAAAATTTCACGTCGCTGAGATGTTGAGATATTTGCCTGTGAAGTAACAGGAAGTGATGTCACAGGGGAATGTCTGCATGTAAACAGTGTTGTTAGACTAACAACAGACTGTAGAGAAGAATCTGATGTTTCTTTAGATTATTTTGAGTTTCTATCAGAGAGATGAAGAAGAGTTAAAGTTCAAACATTGTTTCAATAAACAAAGATCAGAGTTTTATTTTTTAAAGTGTTCCCTTTGATGTCACTTCCTGTTTCACTTTGGCTGAGACAAGTTCAAAAGAAAATATGCAGTTATGGTACAAAATAGGTTAAATTGTGTGTATTATTCCAACATTCTTAAATATAAAGAAGTTTTCTTTGACTTCTTGTATTTGAAGAATATCTTTAACTCTTCAATTGTTCTTTAACTTCATGAAAATAACTGGAAAAAATAAAAATTAAGATTTTGTCCAAAATAAAATAATCAGACTTTCAGAG